TCATTCCTTGGGGAGGGCTGGCTCCCATGGGCCAGGCAGTCCCTGCCTGTGGGACAGGCTGTGACAACCACCTCTGCTGCTCTGGGAAGTACCCTGCGGAGGGGACACGATGGGACATCATGGCTCTGGCTCACCGCAGAGGGTCTGGGGCTGGTGCAGGACAGGGAGGTCTCTTTCCTAGGGAGCAGTCTCTGCTGGAGAAAGGACATGGGAGCAGCCCGTGAACCAACAGTCAGGCTTTATCTGACCTTCTATTTACCTGACCTGCCCTGCCTGAGCACAAATGTCATGCAGTTCCTTCGTGTCAAGCCCCCAGGCGTAGGCTTATCTGAATTACACGTGTCTGTGCTTCTAGAGCTAGGCAACCAAGTTTCCATCGATGGCTCTCTAGGCACTACAAGTCCCTCAATTCACCACAGTGGGTATCCAGCCAGGATTACAAAGCATGCAGTTCCAAAGGTGACACTTGCCTGAAGCAATAAATAAACCATTTCTCAAACTACCTTGCTGGGTAGCAGCTAGGCTGGCTCAGCTCTGCTCCATGGACTGCCTCCTTTCACCTGTCCCAGGAGGTGCCAACACAAGCCCAGGTCACAACTTCATCCTTGTGGTCAAGCCACCTGCAAATACCCTTCCTGACGCGCAGGTGTATGACATTCACTGGCAATTTGTTTGAATGTGCATCCAAATAGTTTATGTGATCAAGTCACAGCCTAAAAAGATTTAGAAAATGGAAAAAGCATTAAATGAAATATTTAGTTTCTCCCATGAGTACCTTTGCTTTTTAAATTAATTAAAGATCACAGCTACATTTTATATTAATTTATTAGAAAAAAGATACACAGTTTAATGTGCAAATATATACAACAAACATTACAATGAAACATGAGGAAGGCGAGCTCCTTCCCTCTATCAATGACTTACTCCTTTGTAACAGAGATGACTGTTTAATGCTTCCCCACAGATTTACAAATACAAAAACGTATAATGCTTCATTTGCACAAGACAAAAGTTTCTTTTGATTTGAACAAAAAATATTCTGGCTTTGACATGGCAAAAGTCTGCTATTTTGGTGGCTTTTTTTTGTTTGTTTTCTTCTTAAAAACCTGAGCAAGTTTTGCGGAACAGGGGAACAAAGGGAAGGCATTGCCCTGTGCCTCATTCTCATCACAGCATCCGATGGTCTTTGAATTCCTAAACCACTGACCATTCAAGTGAATGCAACTCCAGAGTCTACGTCTATAATGCAGTTAGTAACATGGAAGGGAGAGTGCGTTACCATTGGCAAAAGTGAGCTGAGTGACAACACCAGGCTCGAGTTCAATGGTGATTTCTCAAGGAAAGTATTCCTATCTGTCAGTAAGGAATTTGATGCTGCCTCCTGCAAGAAAGGAATTATAATTGGAAAGTGCAGTTCAGACCTAAAAGAAAATGCGTCTTGGATCCTGCTATGCCTTGCTCAAATGCGCGATGACTGAAAGACTGCAGAATAAGGCCATATTAAACCCAAACGGAGTAAAGACCTTGGGAGTGTGTGTAACTCCCAGTAAGCACTGAAATGCTTCTCACTCAACAGAGGAAGTTCAGACCAGATTGATTTCTTTGTGATTCTTTAGGGTGTATTTCAAGCAGGTGCTTGACGCAGGCTGTTTCTATATTCAGCGCCTACAGACAATGTCAGTAAGAGATCCATCTCACCCTGGTCTCCTCCCTCCCATGCTGGGGTGCTGGCATACCAGCTCACTCACCAGCTGTGGGGGAATTCAGCTCATCACCCTGACAGCAGCCGCAGGACTGACTTGGGTTTTCCACGTCCTCCTGCAACCGAGCATCATCTGACAACTCCACAGAGTGACACTTCCAATTAAACAAAAGCTTTTCTGCTCATTCGGTGCTTCATTTCAAAGGAGAAACCCCAGCACTGCTGGACAAGGCATTACAAGTCCTGAGCTGTGCAATGCCAGCCCTCCCCAGCAGACAAGGGTTTCCTCAGGGTCCACTGGCTACCCCACGCTCACTTAGGTGCAGAGCCTCACTCTGCATCAGCTCTCATGATACTTTTTGAAGAAATACATACAAATAACTACAGAGCAGACCCACAGCAAAAAGCAGACCCCACCAGAAGTGTGCCTGCCTGACCCCAGAGCCAAAATGTACAGCTTTGGACTACATTTTCAGACACAAAGCTGTCAAAAGCTGACTCGGTTTTCAGGTGCTGTCACAGGTTTTCCTTCTCTTTGGCCAAGGGCTCAGTATTTAAGAACAGACTTACTGAAGCAGTGACTCCTTTTTGCTCTGTAACATCACTCCTCTGCCACCTACAAGTTCCAGGGGTGCTGCAGTGGTTGGCAGCCCACAGGGATGTCAGGCGCTGCTGTGGCTCCATTCACACCAAAATCCTCATGATGGGGTGGCCACCAAGCAGATTTGGCCTTTGCAACTCTCCCACCATCTTCCTTCTCTAAAGTATTGTGAAATTTGACTAAAACAAAAGAATAAAAGCCTTGGGGGAGCATTGCTCTGCTTCCAAACACTTTTTTGGGGGGTATTTTTTTAATTGCTCCTGTTTGCGTGTTGTGCTTACACAAGAATGCAGGGCACAGGCCCTGGAGCAGGGGGTACAATAGACCTTACAGGAAAAAACGGAATAACCACCAAACCTAGCTTTTAGTTTAGAAGTTAAAGTTAGGAACCAGTGAGCAGCATCTGATCAAGATAAGAGTGCACTGGGGGCAAGCAGGGGACACATGAAGTTGAACAGAGGCCATTCAGGTCCAAGGACAGACCCTGTCAAGCTATATGTTTATGTCCTTTTAAGGGAAAACAAAATGCCAAAAGAGCTCCTTCTATCCTAAACTTCTGAACAATCCCTTAGCCAGGTTTTCCAAAGTTTGAATGTTTGTACAATAAACAGGAACAACAAGCTAGTCAGTGCTCTCCTGTAACGTGGTGGTTTTGCACTTCACAGGGTTTTCTGACAGCATGATAAGAAACTTCCCAATCAAACAGGAGCTGATTCGTGTGTTACTGCCACCCGCACTGGAGGCTGCCATCCCATCACTTGGCAATTCGGGATCTGTGGCAGCATAGCATAATTTTACCTGTCTTTTGTGAGTGCTTTTTGTCCCCTACATCTTAGCTGGTCTTTTAACTTTTTCAGTCCCGCAGCATGCACCAGCTTTCAGCGACATGTATTACTAGCACACCTTGAAAGCAAGGCAACTCTTTGGAGCAGGAAGGCAAACACCTCCGTCACTGTGGCCCTTCCTCACTTCCCCTCCAGCAGGTCTGCAGAGGCGCAGTTCTCCGCCGCCTCTCCCCAAACCCACTTCCCCTGTAGCAGTACCACACCCAGGGCACGCTTGCTCAGAGCTCTCCTCAAGCAGTTTTAAAACAGAAGAGCTGGGTTTTCACAAGGCAAATTTTGCACCAGACAGACAAGATTTACGTGGAGAAGTCTGAACTCTTCTCAAAACTTTGATGAACATTAACTTTCACTTTAGAGCTTTGGGGAGGGGAGGAGAGGAAAGGGGGAAACAGAGTAGAAAGAAGCAGCAGGTCAGCTATCTGCAGTATAAACACCATTTATCCGAGCAGCTCTAGTCCAGGACACCTCATGTCCACAGGCCTGGGTGCCCAGTTTGCCCCAGAGTCAATAAAGGCGCTGGTGAACCTCATTGTTCTCACAGGGTAAGCTAATAAGAGCCTGGTCAGCAGGGATCCCCAGCTTTGCGTTTGCGCTAAAGCAGCAGCGAGACTTGCAAGCACTTCAGCTCTCTTGAGGTAGGAGAAAAATGGTGTTTGTGTCAGCGACACTGCCTCTCCCAGCAGGACGTGTGACTTGGACGTGTCTCTCAGCCTCCCAGAGGGCTCACAGGGCTGAAGCAGAACGGGTGCAAGGAGGACAGCAAGCAGGAGCCTTGAAACGCTGGTGGTTTCTGCGGTGACATTTCCACGACCTCTGTTTGGTAAATCAGCATTTTTGGGATGTCAGATTACAGTAACGCATGTGGCAGCAACAGGCACGTCAAGGGAGGCCAGGGACTGGGCACTGTCAAAGAGGAAATCTTGCGCAAGGTCCTAGCTGTCTGTGGGTACTGACAGGATCAGACCTCTTACAGCTAGTGGGACTTACCTACACGAGCAAAGCCTGCGCAATCAAATCCAGTGTGGGTCACCCAGCGGTACTGCGGACTTCCATGGATCAGGTGCCTGTGAACCACCTTAAGATGAAATTTGCAGCCAAGCTTTTAAGTTAAGTATGTCATAAACTATACACATATGCGATCCTGAGATAGTGCCTGTAACAAGTCCCAAGGTAGATAAGCTTCCTGAATCCAGAGGTCCTCATGCTGCGTAAGCGCATTGTTTTATGCTGGCAGGCCTGCTGGCCTCTCTTGGAGAACACTGCACTTCCTCATTCTCTTTCTTTTTGTTTTGGGGTGGGTCTAGTGAAACAATCAGTTTGAGGGCTGCTACCAGCAATTCCAATGGCATTTCTTCTGCAGTTCAGATGAAAGCATTCTTGATCCTTTGCCAGTTTTCCCAAGACTTGCAGAAACAGGCTCACAGCTTCCCTTTCTATTTTTTGGCCAGCCAAGAGCTGTGTGCCTGCAGCCTCCTGCTAGAGGAGCAGCTGTGCTGTGCTGTGTTGTGCCGAAGAAGCTCCTCAAGATAGGGGAGAAAACACCAGTAGGGATCAGACAGAAAGGCAACAAGTATGAGCCACAACAGAGAGAAACTTAACATGATGACCGTCACCCAGACGGCCAAAGATCATGAGCTCCAGTCCCATCGGTACATAGTCCTGTTTTGAGTTTCTGACAGCATCAGCTCAGAGTCAGACCCTTTAAACCCAGGGGAAAAATATTTTCCAAGATTCTCTTTGCTTAAGAACTGTATATTCAAAAAGTCCTTTTTATTGTTTCAGTATTTTAGCCCTTAGTTGATTAGTCACCAATACCTGCGGATGCCCACTGCTGTAAAAGCACTCTAGCACCTGCAGTATTTGTAGGAATATCAAAAAAATAGCTTTAGCAACTAGGAATTATGCAACAGAGGGAGAAGGCGGGACTAACTAGATTAATGCAACATGTAGTGGATTTGTTAACATTAAGTGTATGACTCGTCGCAGAATCATGCCAGAAAATGGTACCATGTAGCTTACTGGTAAGGGCAGTAAAAAGGGTAATGCATTACTTAATCATCAGTGAACCACTCACTCTTTCAACATACTATTTCCAGCTGAAATCAAAGGTTTCCATTAAAAATGCCATTCCTCTACAGATCGTAGCATCTCACAACTCTCTCTGCCTTTGAACTCTACTGTGATAGCTGCTTCATTAACATTGTGGTTCCAGTGCAAAAAAAAACCCACCCTCTCCAGATCCCAGATCATCTTCCTTCAGACTTTCGATTGCCTCTCATCTGTCCATTCCTGCTTAGTGTTCTGTAAAGCTTGAGTCTTCTGTTCATCTACCTGGACATAGTCCACTCTCTGCTCTTCAGAGAGAAATGGTTTCTGTGGGAGAGAGTTAAAACCAACATATCAATTTTAGGGTTGAAAAGGGATGCTAGTGAAACTTGTCTTGATTTTCTGTTTTCCCTTTCCCTTGTTCCTTGATTGCTTCACTTCACCTTGAAGCTCACAGTGACATCAGCTGACAAAAGCATTGCTTTACAGCCTGCTTTAGCTATAATTATCCATCTGTCACCCTGTCACTCAGCCCAGCACAGCGAGCAAGGGAAACATGCTGTTCTGGCTATTTCCATGCAGACAATCATCCCCTTCTCATCTGAGTAATCCTGCTGCAGGGATAACCTAACTGCATTTTAACTACAGGGAGGGGGGGGAGTTAAATAAGGAACTTTAGTAGTCTTTTGCATCTAGAAGTATTAGCTGATTGGGAAAATGATGTAAAATGGCCCAAACCAACCACAGCTCATCACTTTGCAGTGGTATCTACCCACCTCCTGGGCAGGTTATAAGCTCTTTGGAAGAAGAAATGTATTTTCTCAGCATGGCTAAGGAAATTGAAATGCCTTTGGTGGTGCAAGAATAAGGATGCACATTTTGCCATGTTACAAGAGATGGTAGAGTTTCACCTTGTGAACTTATCATGGGCTGTAACTTGTTACGGCAGAGAGACTGGGGGGAAAAATAGTAGGAATGGGTTTGTGGAGACTTGATGAAAAGAGAGATGCCGAGATCCTGCAAGCACCAAGCAGCTTGCCCTCATGGCTGCACATCCCAGCACAGCCTCTTGCCCTCTGCTCGTGTTAATGACCCCATGAGTCATTCTAAGGGCACCTTGTTATCACCCTAATAGTGCTTTTATTACATTAATCTTGAGCCTGCCACAAATGCAGTCAGCTGGAAACACAACTGACTTCATCGTGGCACCTAGGGCACCTAAGAGAGTGTGAATCTCAGTCTTGTTTTCCTCCCAACAGACAAAAAGACAGGAGGCTGTGGGGTTTTTCAGATGTCTCATACCTTCTGTACAGGGGATGGGGAAGCAGAATTAAAATCCAATGCTAAGTAATCAAGGTTAGATTTCCTTGTCCATGGAAAAGCACCACTGTATGGAGATGTTGCCTGTCTGTGTTCCTGTCGGGAAAGAAGAGAAACACTTAAGGCTCTTAAAACATGATCCTAAAAGGAAGCAGGGCCACACTGTGAAGTGGGAGACTCATCTGGCAGAACGCAAGTGAGAGGAGTCAGCACCCATGTAATTTTCTATACCAAGGGTGCCATTTGGTGACTAACCACAGGGTAACATTGATTGATTGCAGAGTAGCATAAAGAAATGGTGAGAGTCTTCTTCTCCCGGGAATTATGGCAAAACAAGGGGCTGACCTTCATACAATGTCACCAGGAAGGACTTGTGTCCAGTTTCTCACCCCAAGGCCATGGAAGACTCAGATTTGCAAGGGTGCCCTCTTAATCATCACTGTTCTATGAATTTGAAAAAATGGTGATAATTCTGTTCAAATCTAGGAACTGAAAATTAATCTCAGGAAAATCACAGATGACCACAAATGTATGGATGGTTTTATTTGACTAGAAAAATCAAATGGGGAGTAGTTACAACTGGAACTGACCTCCTGAGCAGACCTGGATTTAGTAGAGGTGTGGTTAAAATTTGAGACTATGGTTCACAGAGATTGTGGTCAGTTTTGCAGTATGTTTCTATAGCCACTGCTGTTGGGCTTTGGCTCTGAAGCCAGATCTGTAGACACTGGCTCAGATCAAGGGATTTGTGATCTATTTCCACCTAAAATTCAAAGGAAACTGATATTCTGGTCTTTTTGCAAGATACGGCTAAAGAGTGAATGAAGAAAAGGAAGCCACAAAGCCAGATGTTCTTCTTTCATGGGATGGGAAGTGGGGTTAGTGCCACCAGCCAAAGCAGAAGCAATAAGAGACTTTAATGGGAGTTCTGTTTCTGCACAATATTTGGTGTGTTCCTTTAGGAAGTGCACTAACGGCTTTCTGTCATTTCCTAGGAGACTTTGCGGGGCACACTTTTAAAAGGTGAAAAGATTTAATTTTCCTTTGCCTTAATGAGTTCTCATGTAAATATGGCTGATCCCTGTGATCTCTTGGAACTGCTCAGCAACATTCGTGGGCGAACAGCTGAGTTCTGCGGAGCAGAAGAAGGGCTCCCCTCATCTCTCCGTAAATTGGTCTCACTGTCTTTGCTTTAAAACCATTTCATCATTTTTTTAAAACACAGAAGGCAAAGGACAAACCTCCTCAACATTTTTTCTTAGAAAACAAACTTCTGCATTCTCCATCAATGTGACAGAGCAGAATAAAGCAAAGGATGGCTGTGTGAAAATGAAGATTACCATATGAATGTAACTTTCTTCCTCTTCTCCGGAAACTGAATTGGCAAATATTCTTGCTGAATTAATACCGTCTCTTTCTGGTGAGATAAAGCTCATTCGATTGCTATGAAGAAAAACACAGGAGAGGTTAAGGAAGCATCTTACAGATGCTCTGAAATGAAGCCAAAGCCTGACACAGTCCATATGGTGAATAAACTCACACTAACGCTGCAGCCTTTATGGAGAGGATGTCCAAAACCACTCCTTAGTTCTATAAAAATTATGCTATGTGGCTGTGTGTTGATTTTTTCCCCTGAAATTCATGAAAGTTTGTCATCTCTGATACGACAGAAAGCATAAAACATTTGAGCAACTCAACAAGGGGCACAGAGACAGATATCATTCATTCGGGTAATATATGCCAATGGGGCAGTTACTCACTTGTGTGGGCATCCACATTTCGGAGACTGGTGTGAATTAATCAGCTACTGGAGGTGCATGCAGAGGAACTTGTCTGGCTTTGAACACAGTGTAAACACATGCTGCCTGTGCTATGGAGAGGGCTGCAACTCAGCCCTTGTACCAGGAAATCTCTCCCGCTAACATAACTGCCAGAGGTATATTGTGAGTAAATTATTGCAGGCTAGCACAATGGGGTTAGTTGTTAGGAAATTAGATGGCCACTTTGTGCAGCATGAGCACTATAATTCCTTTGCTTTATTAGTTCCGGGCATACTTCTTTTTTTAGTTTTGTTAATGTAAAACAGGCAAACTCCCTCCGAGCTCGTTATCCTTCAGCACTCTGCACTGTGTCAGCACTAATTAACCACAGTGCTCTGGCAGGGATGCTTGGGGGGCAGGCTACTGGGTTTCCCTAACAGGCAGCACGCAGGACTGAAGGGCTTAACCAGCTTTGGGCTGTACAGCTGAGAGAGGGGTCTGCAATGAGAAAAAGTCCACCTCATGTCCCTTTTGCCCTTCAAATGGCTACCTAAGGCAGGGCAGTGGAAATGCCTGTCTGGCACTTATGCTAGCAAGACTGCACGTTTCCCGGAGTGTCTGGTGTATGCGGAGTAGGCTGATGGGAATTCTTGCTTTTGCATGCAGCTGGCTCTCCTCTCTGCCTTTTCCCACAGTACCAAGATCCCCCCAACCAGCAAGCTGCAGTCCTCCCCTGCTCATGAGCTCCCTGGAGACTGCCCTTGGCTCCCAACAGTGTCATCTGTTCATTGTACCTGGGCTTTGGGACCAAATGCATTCGTTTTACCCCAAAACTAATTTCCAGTAACAAAACAACAAATGAAGTTGGAATTGCTGTGTGGCAGCACAGAAGTCTACACCCAGGTTACAAGTCAGGCAGATCTTTATCTTATTTGGTTTTCCTTTGCTATATTAATTCTCAGGAACAAAAATAGCTCTATCGCTTTGAAAGGAATAATTTAGGCATGTGAAGCTTTTACCTATTGCAGCAGCCACACCAGAGTGCAGGCCAGCTCCAGTCTTTTTGAAAGGAACCTTCAAAACAGACTGAGCATCACTGCATGATGCTGAATGCCCCAGAGCTTCCCATTGTGAAAGGGAGCCTTGATTTTTACAGACAGCAAAAGCCTGGGGGATCCTAGAAGGAACCCTGGGGAAATTTTGTTGTGGACTTTGCCAGGAAACTGTTTCTTGTGGGATGTGATAAGTTATTTTAAACCACATTCCACAATGTTAATGCTTAAAAGATTGGAACAGCAGGTTTCTTGATGACTTACTAAGGCACGGTCCACATCCTGGTCACAGCAGCATGCTCCCGGATTGTGGAGAGGTTCCTCAAGTCCAGAGGAGGTGGCCGTGCTGCAAATAGATACAAAAGGAACTACATTTCCAATAGCAGAGCTAAAGAAATGTACCAGCTTCAGTTCAGTTCAGTTCAGAAAAACACAGTTTTATATGAACAGTAAGAACCTAACAGAGTATTTCACAGAATATAATAGATATAACCAAGACAGGTGCAAAGTCCCTCATTTACCCTAAAATAACACAATAAATACAACAGCCATAAGCAGAGCAAGTGCCCCACTAGGTCCACATGCTTGTCTCAAATCTGCTCTGCATATGCTGCCCTCAAGAGGAGCAGACAGTTCAGCCTACAGGTAAAAACAGGTTTTGGGCTTTCTTCTAGATAAAAACATCCTCCACATGGAGGATCATTCTTCTCACCAGTCAACATCCATTTTCCACTCCATTCCCAAAACCCTCTAAGCTTGAGCTTTGCTTCCTGGCAATGGTCTTGATTTCTGTCTCCATTTCACAGTAGCGTTTTCTGAACCAATTTCTGAGTAGCCCTGTGGCTCTGCAGCCCAAAGAATCTTAATACAGGCTAGGTTTAGGCAATTTCTCCAGTGCAAAGCTGAATTTCGTCCCCAGTATATCCTCTGGAAGTGCAACCCAGATTCTGGAGATGCCATGAAAAGCAGAAGTGGAAAATTACCATCAGTAAAAGCATCTGCAGGAAATTCCTAATTAAACAAGACAGCTGCGCCTGCCCAATACAGTTTTAACCAACAGCCCACACATCAAGTTTGAATATTTCAGTGTTTGGATGTTCTGTTCCTGGAAGGTCAGGGAGCTGGTGAGACAGCAGTACATGTACTTCCGAGCTGCAGGGTTTAATGTGCTGTCTCTCCAAGGCTATGTCCATTTGGTCATTTGCAGTCAGAGTGGACCTGAAGCCATGCACCATGCTAATGCAGTCAGCTGCTCTTGACTGCAAACACAGGCATGGACACTCTTCTGATGCTCACAAACAACCCTGCAGAGTCACCCCATGTTACAGCACTATAAGGCACTTACACAGCAATTCAATCCCTCTTCTAGAGTGGAAGCCCTTTAAAATACCCCCAGGGCACTATCAAAGGAGGCCACCCCTGTCCCTGCTATCAGGTTCCCTTGGCTGCCAATTGCACTTTAGGTCTGAACTTACATTTCCTACGAGGCTTGAGGTCTCTGTTCACTGGAGGGGGCTCCAGGTCCGAGGGAAGCTCAGGTAAGGGGCTGGTGAGTTTTTCAGTGCTGACGACAGGGAAGGTAAACGTGGCTGAGCCAGGGCTCATGGGGATGTAGCCATCGGGTGAACAGTCGGAGCCAGGCGCAGAGGGAGAGGTGCTGGGGCGCATGGGCACATAGCTGTCTTCTGTGCTGTCTGAAGCAGTCGAGTAGAGTGGGGAGAACCGGCAGGGCTTCAGAATCAAAGGAGGAAAAGAAACTGGTCAACAAATGAACAGCTAAACCCCTGCAAGCTGGCAAGAGATCTGAGCCCAAGGCTGGTCCTGACATGAGAGGCTCAAGCTGGAAAGACACAAGACATATGTTTGAGTTTAGATGAACACTCCAGCTCTGAAGAAGTCCACTTCTGAGCTTTACAAGTCACTGCTGTAAACTAGAAGCAAACTTATTGGTGACTTCAGTAGGTTAAATCCTCCAACTTCAGTGAGGCTGCTCTTGCCTCTCCCAGCAGTAATTCTGATCTATAAAATGAAGGAGGCTCCTACATATAAAAAAACATGTGAAAGGAGAACATACGATGAACTAGATCTTTGCAAATGTGGAAGCTGAGAGAGCAGACACAGACCTACAGGTTGCTTCTGATAGATGAGAGTAAACACTAGAAATTCATTTAATGTAGGTTAGTGCTGGCTGAATCGTAAGAGTAACTGATTACAAACCTTTCAAGTGTTCAAAGGAGAGAGAAATGTATGTTGCCCACCACTAGAGCTTACATATAAGCAGCAAAAAGCCACAACTCACACAGAAGGCAGTATCCAGCACCAGGCAGAAGACTGGCTATGGGATGTGTAATGGTGCTACATACAACCATGGCTGTCAAAGGCAAAGTCAGGAAGCTTGGTGTGACAAGAGTCCTGAATCACAGGTGCTTTGTGAGCCAAGACCCTTAAAGAACAGATATCCCTCAAGATCATGAAGTGATAGGCTTCTTCAGGTCCTTTTTTTTTCAACAGATAAGCAGTGTTCTCAGGTGCTGTGTCAACAGTTTAATTCTTGAGGCTACTGGTACCCTTTTTCATAATAAACCTGGCTTCATCTGCTTTAAAACCAGTGTGTTCAGGGTTTTGGCCTTCCCCTCCCTCTCTTCTCAAAGGCTTTCTACGGCCATGAAGCAGCAGCACAGAAGTTGCCCAAAGCCAAGTGCTTCTTCCCCTGAGCACAGGGGAGGACTGACTGGATATCAGAATGAGACACGATTCACTTTCTGAAGTCCGTCCTGTGCCAGCCTTCTAAATTTATGCAAGCAGAGTACTTTACTTACCAAATTTAAGCTAAGCCTCTTATCCCGACTTCTTAAGGAGCTGCCTTCCATATCTGCTGCAAGGGAAAAATTAAAGGGATTAAAAATGTGATAAGGCAGTGCCACTGTACGGAGATAATGCTGGAGTAAAGGAAATGGATTTAATCTAACCAGAGTTTCATAAAGATTCCATAACTCCTAGTATTTACTCTAAATGAGGAAATCCAATAACACTTAAGACCAGAACTAACTCAGTAGCATTTCAAAAGTGATTACGTCTATTTTAAGCATGATGAAACTGAGGAACATGCTCATGCACAATCCAGGTGTAACTTACACTTCCTGTAACACAAGCACTTGGAGAAAGACTGGTGTGGTGTGGAAGGGAAGCAACAAAGCAAACATTTAAACCCAGCTCCTGCTCTAGTCCCACTCTGTTTCCCATGTCAGATTGGATAAATTATATGAAGAAGCACTGCAGGGAATATTAATTCATTATTGTTTGGAAAGTTATTTAGGAGCCTCATATGTAAGGTGCCAGGGAAGCACATGTTGTTGTACAGACGGTTCATGGGGAAACCTAATGGTAACACAGAAACTCTTCTCTTTGTCACCCAGAAATGCTGATGTGGTACAAGTGGTTCAAACTGATGGGGATGAAACAGCCAGAGAAAAGGTCACCAGTCAGTGTATCCCCTTGTGCAGGCTGGCCTTTGTCTTGCTGTAGGTCAATTTTAATTTTAAAGCAAATGGCAAACCCCCTAAAATCCAGAATTCAGTGCATAGATTACCAACAGTGGGAGATGCTTACACCTGCCATTCTTTTTTGGAAAAGGATTTTCTGTGCAGAAAATAGCTTTTCTGTGAGAATGCATTAAACCCTGCAACCATGCTAATCCGGTCCCTGCTCTGACGGTGGAGATGTCAATACTGCACTGCAGTTTTGTGTTGGTATCAGCATAAAAGGCCAAGGTGCTAAACAAGAACAAAGCAATGCTGTTAGCACAGATACACATTCAGAGACAGTCACTGTCCTGGGACAGCTACATTTATTTATTAGTTTGGCAAAAAGACATTGAGGCAGAACACTCCAGCAGATGCCAGGATACAGGGGCCTTACACTTATACAGCTCGCTCCCGTTCATGGCACTGCCATCAGCATACACTGCCTTTGCACTGGATTCACTACATCTGTTCAGCTTTTACAGATTGCCAAGGGCAAAACATGAAGTAAATAACTGGAGTGGGCTCACTCGGGGAGCTGGTGAGGAGCAGCTGCTTTCTCCCTGTTCCTTGTTTCTGATCTTTCTTGTTAAGCACATTTTAATTCAGAGTTTAACCTTTCGAATAGTTTCATCTGCACTTAGGGGAAGAAAAAATAGCACCACTTATTAATTCATTGCTGCCCCCTGTCAGGCAGAGATAACCTTGCAGCACTGTAGCAGAACATGACATTTGGCCACTTAATCCTCTTAAAAACATTTGGTTGTGAATTGGGTTGGAGGAACCTTAACTGTCTCACACACACTGGCGTTAGAGCAGCACCCATGCAGGAGCAGAGCAGCACCTTTTGGGGAGTAACCAAAAGTAACTGATAAGTAAGAATACCAATTCCTCTGATGGGTGTTTCTTTCGTCATAAGCCTTCCAAGAATTGTTTGTACACTGATAAACAGGCTGGGCAGAGGTCTCCTTGCTTTAGCTTCTGAGCTTTAAGAGCAAGATCAAATGGTTCAGCGTTCAAACTACAGGAATCTTAAGGACACTTATCCTTGAAAACCTACATTTTCTTCCTTGTCAAAAATACCCCGTCACTGCAGAATACTTGATGATTTCCAGGCAGCTATTCCAGGTGCCTCCCTCTGTTCTCTTTATTCTGTGGCTCCACAAAATAAGACTTTCTCATACTGTGTATGCTGGGTTTTTACACCTTGATGTTCTGTTTTTTGACTTATTTCTGTTTGCCGTGATGGTGTTTCCAGAACAAGTCACCTCAGCTCAGAGCAGACCTTGCTTTGCAGCAGAGCCTCAGTCTGCAGCGGGTTTTCAGGCTACCCTGACTGAAGTGCAAGGACAGAGTGGGATTTACTCAAGGACAGAGTCCCTGGTTGCACTGGGATTACATCCCATCCCCAGTGTCTCCCTGGCTTCCTGTTCTTTACTCTAAGCTGCGTAAAGACATGCTGCTGTTACGGAAAGTGTTGGAAGTAGTGGAGCAGCACAGCTACAGCACAGAGGCATTTCCCATGTGCAAGCCCATATTTTGACCTGCGTCTGGCATCGCCTGATTCTGTGGCTGGCTTTTAAGTTTTGTTTTTTCTACTGCTTTCCCTTCTGGAGAGGGAGGGGGCATAGAAAACTGTCAAGCCATGAGGCACCCTGAAGAGATCACAGCCAAATTGCTGCCCATGTGTATACACACTGAGGGGGCTTTTATGGAGCAGCAGCTGAATGTGAAGGACAGGTCTGAACTAGTTTGAAACAAGCATTTCAGGTAGCTTTGGGTGCTGTGTGATTACACAGTGGGGAAGACAGGAAGACACAACTGGAGGTGGGCATCGCTCTGTGCTCAGGGGCAGCTCCATCCCTTACCGGTCCTGCTTCTCTGGCTCTCAGAAATGCACTCACCTTTCCAGTTCCTCACGTTGTCTAAGCTGGACAAGGAGATCCTCCTGGGCACCAGAGCAACCTGAGCCCTGCAGATCCCTGCGTGGCCATTCTGAAGGGCCACACCACCAACCTCTTCCCCTCTCCTGTCTGAGAAGTGGGTTGGCTTGGGTGGCCGCGGCGGAGGGGTGTTGGAGAGGACGTCCAGCTGGGTCACGCCGTAGGGCAGCACACTTTGGCTCTTGTCAATCTGAAAGGTTGGAGTCAGTGGTGTCCCCAGCAGTGGAGAAGAGGAGGAAATGTCACTGGGTGGCCCGTTAACGTCTATGCTCCTTGGCACGGTGCTGGGATTGGCCAGTGGGGCCCCATCCTGGTGCACAGTGCCTGCACTGGACGGCTGTACAAGGTATAAGGAAGGCTGGGACTGCAAGGAGTCGACAAAGACATCATCTGATGAGGTTTGCTCCAGAGATCTGTCCGAATTTGACCAGCTGTCACACCTGCACAGAGACAGAGTTAGGACCTGTGCTTTTCTTTCCTCTTGGTTGCAACTGAGTAAGCATACAGCAAAAATGGAAACAACCCCATAGCTCAGGACTAAAACCATCCCTTCCCTATGGTTGTGCAAGTTCTCCCTGAGCTGGACTGGGGCACTTTGGGCATCAGCCAGCAAAACGGGCATCTGGAGGGAGGCTGTGTGTGAGCTTGCCAGCCACCCACCCAGGAAAGTGACAGCACCAACATGCAATGCTTGACTGCTAATCTGTGCTATGAAAAATACCCTGTAAATTGGATTAGGCTGATGGTCTCCTGTTGTGCTCAGGAGCCAACCCCGAGTGGCAGGGCTCAAGGACCAGTTTGTCCCAGCTTCCCAGGGCATCACTGGGCAGGCAGAGGAGGAGCCCAGACCTACCTGTTGTGGCTGAGCTTGCCCGACTCGCAGTTGGAGAGGAAGAGGTAGTCGGGGAGGAAGACCGACTCCGACTCGCTGGGGGTCTCCTCCGCAGCAGATGCATCAGCAGCAGTGTGGTCCACTGAGAAGGAGGGGTCAGCAATGCGGGAGGCGTGGGTAGAGGTGGCTGGTGATGGCTGCGGGGATGAGGTCGTGTGAGACAGGCTCTCCACTGAACCTGCAATGGGAATGGATGGCCCCAGATGAGGGACAGCTCTCGCTCACCCTGGCCATTGCCAGCTGCCAAAGTGAGGGGCTGCAGAAGGTGCAGACCCACCTTGCTCTGGGGTCTCCTGCTCCTGCAGAGTTGTAGCATCCCTACTGCAGACAGTAATGAAGACAACTTTTTTTCAGGGGACTGCTGAGGCACAGCAGTCTCTTAGCAAGTATTTTTTGGGACCTAATGCAAATATTCATGTCCAACAATTCAAATAATGGTGACAAGGGAAAGGACTGATTTCTTCCCACTTTCTTCATCTCAGTGGACAAAAGTGAGCTTTGCAGCTCATGGGGTAGCTGTATTTGTTGCACCTCTGAACTTGTCTGCAAACTCCTTATGCCTGTCTCATCAGACATGAAAGCCAGGAGAGCTGTGGTGTAGCTGTCATTGCTTGTTGGTTCTGCTGGGAAAAGGGACACTGTTTCTAGAGGCTACAAGGCTCAGGGGAGCCTGTGCTCAGTGACAGAGCACTCCAGTCCTCCCAGCACAGAGAGGGGTGGTGGAGGGCAATGGAGCAGATTTGGGCTGCAGACAGCAGGGCTGGCCCAGGCCGCACAGAGCTGTCTGACAGCTTAGCTCCGCACCCACCTCCATCCCTGCTGGACAGACAGGGCAGCTGAGCAGAAGGGATGAAGGAGTCTTGGCACCGTAATGGGTTGTTGCAGTTACCTCTTAACCCTGGGAGGTGCTAGCTGTATGTGCAACCATGTCAGGAGAGATGGAGGGGGCTGCCAAGGCTTGGGGGGGGGTTAGACAATAACATCACTAAGTGCAAAAAATCCCCTCTAATGACCCTGGCTTCCATACCGGCCACCATGGGCTTCAACCAGGCCTATTGCTGATCTCAGTGAGAACAGTAAACCAGCAGATTTTCTTTCTCTCTGCACTACCCCACACCTCACTCCTTTAAAGCAGGGAGGGAGCTGCCTCTTTCCTTCCCACCAACCAGTATTGACTCACTGATGCTTCCTCTTGGTAAGTTTCAAGGTCTGGTGCAGTGGTGGACCTCATGTCAGCAAAGCACATAAGCAAGTGCTTAAGTTGGTGATGAGACATAGGCACAGGGTGCCCAGGGAAGCTGTGGCTGCCCCATCCCTGGCAGTGTTCAAGGCCAGGTTGGACAGGGCTTGGAGCAACCCGCTCCAGTTGAAGGTGTCCCTGCCTGTGGCAGGGGGTTGGAACTGGATGAGCTTTAGGTCGTTTCCAACCCAAACCATTCTGTGATTCTCTTATCTGCTTAAGTTTGAGCAGGTGCTTATAGCAGCAGGATTTCACCAGTGAGCACCTGGAAGGAATGGTTTTTATGGGGTTTCACATTTGCAAAGCAGAGCTGAGAGCTGCAGCCTTCCATCTGAAACATAACTTTTCTCTTGTTCATTGTGCTGGCTCAGACAGCAGCTCTGCTTTCAAACCTTGGACTCAGGAGCTGTCTTGCAAGCTGAGGATGATCAAATATGCACCAGAGAACTCCATAGGGATCTCAGAGAAGCACGTTCACGTCACCATCTGACCACATATTTAAAAAATCCCAACAACAACCAACAACTAAAATCTGCCACAGTGCATAAGAAAGAAATTAATGACATTCTGGATTATTAGTGCAAGAGAACAAACAGGCCTGAACTCCATCTGGTACTCACAGGGTTTAGCCATGGATTATCCCATCAGGAAAGGCTTCGAGCTGCAGACCACATGGCAAGTGTTGTGAGGAGGAGGGAGGGATGGGAAGAGCCCAGCCCTGCCCTTTTCTAACCTTCGGGGACTCAGGGACCTGCAGCCAGCTCTTAACAGACTGTCCCTGTCCCTGCCAGCTCTGCTGGTAACTGGATCAGCACACATTAAAGTTGTACAGTGACAGCAGCTGGGTAGTATAAATTATGCATGGCCACTTGCAACAGTGAGAAGGCAGAGAATAGGTTTGGTGCCTGCCCTCCCCTTTGCCAGAGACACAGCGGGGGGCTTCAGCTGCCAAAATAACTGCTTCAGTGGGTATTAACCCAAAAGATCTCTGCCCTGCATCGATGCCAGGGCCACTGGCTGGAGGAACAGAAGGCTTCTCGTTACTGTTACAGACCCCAGCCCACTCCCCCACAATTGCTATGGTGCAGCAGCAGTGCAGGGACATGGTGAATTAGGGGTTCCTGCTCACAGCAACCGCCCATCAGGCTGCATGGCCATACCAAGGCGGCAGGAATGCCACCCACCCTCCTGGCCAGGGGCCAGAGCTAAGATTAAAGAGCAGCCTTGAGTCTGTGTAGCTGGAAAGGGATATTCTTCTGCTGAAGGTGGGGTATGGAGCGAGTAGCCCCCATGTTTGTCCTCCAGCATCTCCCTTGGACTGGGAGGAGCTGTCACACCTCCCCTGAGCTTCTGCACAAAAGACAGGCGCTGCCATGAGCCAGCCTGCTAGGGCACTGCCTGCCCCTCTCTGTAGGGAGGGGGAAATGATGTGAAGATGCTCGGGAGAAGGCATGCTTGCAAGGAGAATAGTCCCTCCAGGTAGCCCCTCAGTGCAGTGGTCCTGCCTGCCCTTGCTCCTACCACACTGCCCTGGCCGGGGAGATGCTCCCCAATGTGGTTGCAGCAAGGTCCCGGAGAACCAAAGCATCCCTATGCCATAGCAGGGTCTGTGCACACTGACAAAGAAAAAAAACAAATGGGGAGACATTTAAGGAGGCAAAGAAACCACCAGAGGAGCTGGCAGAAAGGAAAAAAGTCCCAGCAGTGGGCAAGGATGGATATGAACAAGGATAAACAATTTTCACAGCGGTTTCTCCAGTGGAAAGATGCTATACTGCATTGTGTCAATCAACTGTGATTTCAGCTTGAATAAGGGATAAAGCATGCCCATGATGCCACCTCATTTAATCCCCTCCCCTGCCTGGCCTCTTGGCCCAGGTGTCCTCTCAATTCTCTGCATGGCCATACGTCCATTGTGCAGAACAACTGCTCTTTCGGGAGCCTTCACCAGAGGTGGAAACAAGATCTTACATAGATCTGGTAGGAAAACAGGGAGGGAGAGGCCTCTTCCTCCCTCCCCGAAGGTGCCAGCTCCCCCGTCGTTTTCAGCACCGCCAGCACACACGGTTCCAGGCGGCAGCGAGTGCTGCAGCGCACTGATTGCTGCTGGCAGGGCCCTCCGACAGCCGCCCTCCCAGGTGCTTCCTGACATCTGCCTGCCGCTCGCATGTCCCAGCCGTCCCTCTCCTGTTGACAGAACACTGTCCTTTAGCCGCTGGTTTGCTTGGTCTGCATCTGGCTGCCTGCATCTCAGCCCCGAGGGCCCTGATGACAACGGCCTGGATGTTGATCCAGCTTCTTTGCTACTGTAAGGGACTAACTGGGAACAACGGGAAAGTGTTTAAAGCTGAGTCATGGAGTGGACCTGTGGCTGTGATTTCTGTGTTGGTTTTGGCCTCGAAGTCACAGCAAATTTTCAGAGATGCAAGGATTAAGAGTGATTTCATAATATAATATTGGATTTGAAATTTATTTTAATATACAGAACTGCTTATTAAAATTCCCTGCAATTGATGTGTCTTTCTTTTGATGATTCATTTCAGGGACTATTATTTTTTAACACAGTATCATTCGAGTCAAAAAAGCATATGGCATTTAACAGAGCTTTTCTCTTCTTATGTTAATTTTGAAGGGTAATTTGTTTAAACCTACAGGCTCTTGAGGGATTTAGATGCTTCCAAAAAGCCGAAGCAATTAGCAACTGTTTGAAATGTAGTGTGCAACCTATGGAACTGTGCAGATTTAAACTGGAGAGTCTGAATGTGCCCTGCAGCCTGACCTGAACACACTCCAGACCTGACCTCAGCAGCATGGACTGCAGGGTAAATAGAAGGAGCTACTCACCATTAGAGATACAGTAAGTGCATGTCTGGAAGCTTAGCATATGCCATCTGTCATGTGTGCTGTAAGGTCAGGAGCCAGACTTTATACTGAACCAAGGCTCTGCAGCGCACTCTTTGATGGGAGACAAATACACTGTGTAACACTCTGAGTATTGCCCACCTGTAAGTCTTACAAGCAATACTGCACTGTAGCAGCATAACAAAATAGACATTTCCCAGTACAAATGCATCCTTGCTGGGATAGCCTCTGTGGCAGATAGCCTCTGTCACAGATCACATCTCCCTGAACACATCCTCACAGCCTGCATGCACATCTGAGACACAAAGATTACTTTTCCCTCCGCTGTTTTGCATGGACAGACTTACCTTAATTTCAGAATAATTGTTAAAATAATATATAAAATAATATTGCATCAGAAGTAGCAATGCACGAACAAGAGCTCAGCAAGGACAGATCTGTAGGAAGGGGGTTACTGAATATCCCACATTATATCCAAACTGCAAAGGGCTATTGACTCCAGTCCCTCAAAGCTACCAGCTCTAGTTTGCTTGTTGCATTCAGGAGCAGTTTGTACTGGCACATAAAAATATGTCAGCATGTTTTCCTGGCAGTTTCTAAAGGGAATGGGAACAGAGCACACATCACATTTACAGCAAGACCACTGCAGTGCTCTTTCGACTCCCACTTCCTCTCAGGATAAACTACTGAAGAGAAGATTAAAAGAAGGCCAGGAACTAGGATAGATTAAAACAAAACATCTCATCATAGACTTCTGCTTCTTTTCAAATTACAAGGTAATGGTATGGCTACATGGCAGCTCCAGACACCAGGCGCAGTTTGAGAACAGCAGCACAGGGACCATGGCACACTGTGATACCCCCAAACACATTGCTGCCCTTGGGATCAAGTCACTCCATCACCACCCTTTTCTGCTCTTGCACTGCCTTCTGACTCACTTCCTAAGAAGCTCTCAAATTGCTGCTGTATCTGCCCCTTGGAAATGTCAAGAGGAAGACAGATTGCTGTTATCTGAGCCCGGTTGTCTCATTTGTAAGGTAAGTTAATGATGATACAGGTCCTGACTTTAATTACTGGCTACATCCATCTTGGAGCAGTTAATTCTTGGAAGCTTTCCAAGAAATTCACCCTACTGAGTATATACAAGTGTACGTCCTGGCAAAACAAGCTGAATTTATGCTTCTCTGGCAGGACCATCTCTGAAGTCCAGACACACACTTCTAACTAACACTCTCCTGTCCTTTGCCTTTTCTTTACTTTTAATTCTCATTAAAAGCCTAAGACAGCTCAGTGTTTTTGTCATTGATTTATGTGCATGCATATACACCCAGGCCTGTGCACATTCCACATCCAGCAAAGCCTGAGAAAATGTGAGTTTTGCAGGACCCTTTCCTGGAACAGGTGTCTTACATTAACCAAACTAAATAAATATGGGACATGTAATGAAATAAATGGCCCCAGAAGATAACAGTCAGCTTTTCACATAAACAGTACCTTTTCTTATTAAGGACCTGCTGTTGTTCTAGCAGGAATTGCTTCATTAAAATGAGACCAAGTGGCCAGCTATTAAGTGTATCCAGCAGTAGCGAGATCCTTGATAGCTTTCAAATCAGGGTTTAGCAGCATCTCAGTGCTCTGTGGAGCTATAGGAAACTAAGTCTCACACTACCTTGCCCAGCCCAACAAGGTCTATGCTTCCTTTCACACAGTGTTCTGCTGTGGTGAACCACTGGTCATCCTCCCAACCCCCAAGACGAGCATGATCCTACCTGTGCCATCTTCTAGATGTCCAAAGTTACAGATCTGGCTGATGTTGTGCACCCAGATCTGCATCTCCTCCTCGGTTTTGGCTACCAGGTAGAAGGTGCGGTAGGTGGTTCTCACAATGAAGACAAAGTTGTTCTGAAATTCCTTCTTGATGAAGTTGGGCCCTGAGTGCTTCAGCACTTCGCACTCATTGAGGTCGATGATCCTAATGGGCTTTTTGGAGTGGTTGTTCCTGTAGTACTCCAGCACATCCGGGTTCCCGCTCATGCGGCCTCTGCGCAGCACAAACCAGCGCTTCCGCCATGCCTGTGAATGGCACAAACAGGGTCCTTTTAGTGCCAGCCACACAATACATCAATCAGCACACACATGCTCATTCTCTTTTAGGCTTTATAGCTGTTTTGATAAGCTGGCCAAAATGCCACTTAGGTATGAAGTGCTTGCTATCAGCTTGCATTTATGATAGGAAAAAAAGCAGAGGGTTGTCCCTCTGGAGGTCAATAGGAGTGGCGCTTCTACGCTGCTCTCATCCTTAGCCTGCCAGCGTGGTATAATCAAAACCCAGTACTTCGCCATCTCATCTATGGTGTTATAATCTCTCCTAGAAGAGATTGTAACACATTTTTCTTCCTGAAAACACCTAGGACTGCACCCTGTGTTGCAGTACATAAGCTAATGACCTGTGCAGCTTCACTCCTACTGCTTTCAGTGCCAATAAAAAGCTGTTAATGAGCTGCCAGTTACTTCTGAAAGCCCGGAACAAACCTTAAGGGAGTTGTAGTGCTAAAAAGTTAAAGGGAAAACTCCCAAACCTTGCACATGATCTATGCAGGCACTACTTCAAGTGACCGTCAACACAAAGCAAACCTGGCAAGCACTGATATCTTTTAGACCCCTGTGACTTGAAGGTATGGGTCCCATACAGGTTAAGAGGAAGTCCTGGCAGGACTAAGATGCAGCATCACTTTACAAAGCTTCTAGAAACAAAATAACCTATTTTTCCTCTTTTTGCCCAGCAGCTGTTTTTGTTCACCAACAGTATAAGCACCTCTGTGTTGATTACAGCTGTCACCAATGCACCTACTCCAAGGGCCCAAAGAAATCCACCCTCTGCTCTGTTCCACAGAGAATAGCTAAAATAAGACATTAGGAGCTTCCCCCTTACCGAAGTCCATGCACCCTGTGTTGGATAGAGTCATGCCCAAAACAGAAAGACTAAAGGGGCTGAAGCTAAGGCTGAGGCTGCCCCAGCTCTGATGGCAGAAAGGTGCCCAGGGGTTCATGCACTGCCCAAGTGCTTGCAATAACTTGGGCGCTACGGCCACTGGCTGCTTTAGTTGCTTCCCCACAAGTTTAAAGTTCATTAAAGGAACATCTGAACAACCATCACCACAACCGCCCTACCTGAATCTTAGTCTTCACAAAATGACATGTCACAGCAATGTAAATCTGATGATGGCTTGTGTTTGAGTTAAAAATCATGCTCCTTTTCAAAGAGTGGATCTGTCTGTCACTTCGAAGACAGCCAACCATTTGGTTTTAAGGCAAAATAACTGAGTTCAGGACGTTTTCACTGAGCTGTAAGCATCCTTGCTGGCACAGTTTAGGATCAATAGAGGCACCAAAGATTATGCTGACGCTGAGCTCCTATGGGCATGGTTATAGTTTAAAATGATCAACAAAAAATAGCAACAATCATTTGTCAAGAAAAAGTTGGAGTTTTTTTTTGTTTCCTACTCAGAAGAGACTTGCTTCAGTGCAGCTTTCCACAGTCTGTCACCCAAACATTCCTTGAGAAGTCAGCCTGGTAGCACCTTAATCTAGCTTGAAAGCAAAAAAAGTCTTCAAGAGCAATATACAGGGAGCAAAGATTGAAATGTCATAGAGGGAGCTCTTGCAAGGCTGACCAAGCACATACCCCCTGTGTAAAGGAGGGGTTTTCAGAGAGGGGGGACACCTCAGGGATAAACAGGAAGCAGAGGTAAGGCGCAAAGTGCATTGCACAAAGAAACTGAAGTCTTGTCCTCATGACCTCTTGAGGTTTGAAAGTGATGTGGTCCCTGCTGACAGTAGCTTGAGATAACAGATCACCGAGACCTCAGACCAGGCTCACGGTGTGGGAGCCAGGGAAAAAGAAAAAAGAACACCCCCCACCCCCAAAGGAAATAGAAACTAAGGAAAAATGTTCAATGGAGGAAACACTTTCCTGCCTAGCAAGCTCCAACAGCAGAACACAGCCCAGCAGGTATCTCATATATACAGCCTTAGAAAGAGTCCACGTCTCTGCCTTCTGCAGTCCAAGTGCTGCACAGTAAATGCTTAATGCACACCCCACAGACACATCAGAACAGAAAGGTCACAATCCCTGACACACTCTCACCCCTAAACAACAAAAGAGAAACTCTATGGGAGGTGTGAGCCAAACAAGACCTGCTCCTTTGCCTCTCAAAGAAGGAGGCTACTAGGCTAGAGAGAGAAAAGCACTATGAAATCTCCCCAAGACTGCAAGACCACTTCTCACTCCTTTCCCTGCAGCTTAAATACCTGTCTCCTTCTGATGGGAATTGGAGGAAATCACCTGCATATGAGCAAGGTGAGGACAGAGGGGATCAGGGCAGCTGGGGACACCCTGCCTACGTGACACCCATGCAGCTGTGGGGAGCTGAGCCCCGGAGGCTGGGGCCAGCTCAGAGCTACTGCCAGTGGCTGTGCAACACCCTTACGCAGGATGGCCCAGTACCTGTCCCCGTTTCCTTAGCATTTTAACCTTCATGAGTGTAAAGGGGGCTGGAGCTTCTGCACAACCTGGGCAGCCCGTGACAGGAGAGAGAAAACTGCAGCTGTGCTTTGTGGGAAAGCTCTCATCCCTCTTTTTGGAGGGTAAGGCGGGCTTTGGCATGGTGTGAGCGGCTGTGGCTCTGCTGGTTTTGGTTCTGTGCTAGCCAAGAAGCTGCCTGCTGACCTGTTTCCCTGCAGATATACAATGTGATCAGGCTTATCAGCTGGCTGGCGCTGTGAGACTGGAGATGGAGAGGTGCCCTGTCAGCGCGGCTCATGATGGGAGAGGAGAGCAGCAGAGGCTGAGTGAGAAAACACTGGCTATCACAGCTGGGCAGCCCTGACAACTGGGCTGAGGGGAAGGAATGCCAGATAGCTGCCCAGATCTGCACTGCCCTTGGGAAGGGTGGGCCTCCCCGCTCCATCTCCTGCACTGCCGCCCTCACAGCATTCCCTGAGCTTGTGGTGTGTCCCGTGCAGCCAGCCAGCCCTGTCCTGCTGCTAACAGAGGGCTTTTTTCTCCTGGGAGTAGCACATGAGCTGTAGGCAACACACAGGAAGGTGGGGGTGAGAGGGACAGAGGAACTGCCCTGTGGAGATACTGTCAGCCCGGGCAAGCTAACAGCCCTTGGCTGCCACTGTTCACTGCCCCGATATTAACATGCTCTGCACCCAAGGGTGGTTGGTATCTCACTGTGAGCTGCAGGGACCGAAGCAAACACCCTGCCTGTGCCACTGACCTGATGCTGGACCTGAAGCTGAGGGGAGGGAGAGGCACCCAGGGACAGCAGCCTTTAAATAGGCACAGCCTGAGTCAGCAGCACAGTGAATCAGCACTCACGGGCTCAGGGCTCAAAGACAAGCACTCAGCCCCTCGTGAAACCAGTGCTGGTGCCATGACAGGGCGATGGTCTCTGATGGGCTTGCCTGCTGCCTTGTGGCCACACTGCTCCTAGCCTGCCACCTAAGGGAGTAAAACCAGAGGAAACCATCCTATCCCACACTGAGAAAGGGGAGCACTGCAGCCAGGTTGCTGGGGGACAGGCAGACCAGCACCAAGAAGCGGGTAGGATGTTGGGAGGGGCAGGACCAGATCTTCCCTGGGTACTTGCTCTAAATATCAGCTTCATTGTACCACCAGACATATCCAGTCTTGTCACTGTCTCTCCCCAGTGGCTCACTTCCATTAGGAAACTTTCACTGATATGTGCCTTTACTCACAAAGCATCCTTGCCTATCCTGAAATGCTGTGTGTACAATGTGCCAGGTTTTTAAGACACTCTCAGCTTGCCTGCAAAAGGACACGAGCAGATTTGACACTGTCAATAGACAGGAATCGCCCTGCTCCATGGCATAGGCAAAGCAGGGGTTTTAACACAACTTTCAGCATGAGGCTTTTATCTCCAAGAGCTGAACATCCTCTCCTCATTTTCCTGGCATTTGCCTGCAGTGAACTACGTGTCTCCTTTCCCCAGGGAAAGGGATGCAGCACACTAGAGGCACTGGGATCTCAGCTGTGGCAGGCCTTGGCCACACAAGATGCTGGCAGAAGCTTTTGGCTTGAGGGGACCCAGGCAGCTCCTGTACTATGCTCTGCTGTAAGGGGGCCAGGGCTCCCCAGCCCAGGCCAAAGGTAAAGAGGGTGCCCAGCACCCCCGTGCAGGGCAGGCAGTCATGCCCCACAGCAGCTCCTCTCCAGTGCAGTTACCATCTAATTTAGGCAAGGTTGGATGGGGCTTTGAGCAACATGCTCTAGTGGAAGGTGTCCCTGCCCATGGCAGGGGGTTGGAACTGAAGGAGCTTTAAGGTCTCTTCCAACCCAAACCATTCCATGATTCTATGATTTACCAGTCACAAGACTGCCTCCTCCTTCCCTGTTACAGCTCTTCCCACCATCCCTGTTTTTCTGTCTTTGCAGCATTAACTATGCCCACACGATGGGGGCATAGGGCATGATGTGGAATGGCACAGTCGGTATCACCATGAGCCTTGCGCAGAGGTCCAGTCCCTGTGTTGCTGTGGGGTGCTGGTGTCAGGCTAGAGAGCACCTTCCATCCCCTGCAGTGTCTTGAGCTGACAGTGGAGGAGCCAGCATGGCCAGAATGGTGGGGCTATGGAAGAAGGGTGTTATTCCAGCTCATCAGAGCCAATGGTATCTGACAATAGTTAGTCTGGAGCTGCACACGCTGCCAAATTTACAAGGGAATTTGGCTCAGTTTAAGGGTGAAAGATTGCACTCCCATGGTTAAGTAACCTATATACTTAAATAGGAACCAATTCTTGGGATTCAGCCTAGGTTCCTCACTTGCACTATGGAAAGGATCTATATGTCATGAAGAAATATTACACTTACATGTGGGCCTCTTGAAATTAGTTCCTTCTTGACGAAGGAATGATACGATGATGATACGTCTACATGTCCTCTGAAGCTTTGCTGGCATTAGAGAGGAGGCTTTATCAGGAAAGCACAACCACGCTCAGACAAGAGCCAGCATAAATCTAGAACAATTTTCATCTGTCCTTCGTAA